GAATACGGTGGGATGGGAAAAGAGGGAAGAACTTCGCTGCAAATAGGAAGACATTAGGAAGACAGTCATGGCAGTAACCACCTCAAACCTAGCTTGCTTTTTTTTTTTTCCCTCTTCCACTTTCAGCTCCTCCATGCTTTTAACAGTGGTATATAAACATTCAGGCTATCAACATTTAACACTTCCATAATACAGAACTGGATGACCCTCATCTTAAGGCACAAAACTCCATCCTCACCAAGTTGCAGTGTTCTGCAGAATTGAAAGCCATATTCCTTATATACAGACTTGTGCATCTATCACCCTTTATACCCAAAAGTGAGGCACAACAAAAACTTTAAAGACTAAAGCAAATTAGAGTATTAAAATGCATCTCAAAATCCATAGCTAATTGCCTCAACTGTTCATTGCCTTTAAAGGTAATAAAATGTACATAATTTTCACAGCCTCAGAAAAGCTGAATGCTATGTCTTTAGTCAACCTTTCTGTCCTCATTTATGAGCAATTATTCATAGGCAATCACAGGCTTTGGTGTGCTTAGCAGTTTTTAAAATATATTTGCCTCTTTCTCTTAAAATAGTTGAAATGGAACTTTTAAAACAGAACTGCTATAAAGGTACATCAGGATACTAATTTTTTTAACACTTTATAAGATCAAATTATATGGTTGGTTTGTTTGTAAAAAATAGGGCTAAGGTATGCAGAGAAACTGCTGAGAAACATCTTTTCTAGCTCTCTCTTCAAGTACCTTCACAAGACACTTAATGGAAGAGCTCAAGACTGAGTTTTCAGAGCTTTTTTGGGGGTGGCAGAGGGTAGCATTGTCTGCTTTCACAGATAATTTAACTTTGTTAATAACTATTTTAACATGTTTTTAATGTTTCTGATGGAACAAATGAGTGCATTAGTCAATAAAACTACAAATTCCTTTAACAGCTATGGGGAAAGTGAGCTGAGAGAAAAGCCAAAAAACGCAGTTTAAAGTTTATCAAGCTAAAGGCTTGGTTCCCGACCGCGACAGCGGAAGCGAGCCCTGTACTCGGCAGCCCAGGCAGCACCTGGGCAGGCTGGGAGCCGCTCCTCCCGCACAGCCGTCTCTCGGCTGCCATCTCCTGGGGAGGCTCCTCATAACACAGACCCCCCGCTCCCGGTAACTTCACGACAATCAAGTACCGTTTTCATAGTATGCATCGGGCTCAGCTTCTCTTGAGAACACAGCTGAACCAGGCATGGAAACTCTTTAAATTAAGCAGTGCTGGTACATCTACGTTCTGCCAGACAAAGGGATCAGTGCATTCAAATGTTGCCAGCCAAGACCAAGACATTTTTCAGGACAGATTCTTGCCCTTCCACAAACACCTCCCATCTGGCATATCTTCACGGGAATCACACGATGACCCCTTTGGTTTACAACAGCTGTTGCCAGGAACATCTGACTGCACCTGGAGCCACCACCTCTGCAGCACACCGTGACACTGCTGGAAGAGCCATGGAGGGGTGGGATTACCCTCCCCTGTAGCCAAGGCAGAAAAACAGCTGGACTCACCCCAGAAGCTAGGGCTGCATTGTGTATTGATCTGCAGCTGCCTGCCATCCCACTCACGGACCTCACCAGAACACAAGGTAGCCCTCTCCC